ATGTGTGGTCCCCAGGTTCATGGACCGACCCGTATGTCGTCCCCAGTCCGTGCCGTGACTGACCATATGTCGTCTCCAGGTCCATGACTGACCGTATGTCGTCCCAGGTCCATGACTGACCCGTATGTCGCCCCAGGTCCATGACTGACCCGTATGTCGTCCCCAGGTCCTGACTAACCCATGTGTGGTCCCCAGGTTCATGACCGACCCGTATGTCGTCCCCAGGTCCATGACTAACCCATGTGTGGTCCCCAGGTGCATGACCGACCCGTATGTCGTCCCCAGGTCCGGACTGACCATATGTCGTCTCCAGGTCCATGACTGACCCGTATGTCGTCCCCAGGTCCATGACTAACCCATGTGTGGTCCCCAGGTTCATGACCGACCCGTATGTCGTCCCCGGTCCGTGACTGACCCATATGTCGTCCCCAGGTCCGTGACTGACCCATATGTCGTCTCCAGGTCCATGACTGACCCGTATGTCTTCCCCAGTCATGACTGACCCGTATGTCGTCCCCAGGTCCACGACTGACCCGCATGTCGTCCCCGGTCCATGACTGACCCGTATGTCGTCCCCAGGTCCACGACTGACCTGTATGTCGTCTCCAGGTCCATGACCGACCCGTATGTCGTCCCCAGGTCCATGACTGACCCATGCGTGGTCCCCAGGCTCATGACTAACCCATGTGTTGTCCCCAGGTTCATGATCGACACGGACGTCGTGGGCTGTAACTGGATCGACTGCCGGCCGGCTGCTGGCGGCGCCGCGCGCGGACACCAGGGCGCCGCCTCGCCGCCGGCCACCTCACACTGTCAGCTGGAGCTCGACGTGGCCTGGGACAAGTTCGTCTCTCACGCGCCGGAGGGCGAGTGGCAGAAGGTGGCGCCCATCCGCATCCTCAGCTTCGACATCGAGTGCTCCAACAGGAAAGGTGCGTCGCGCGCCACATGCCGCCGGGAGAAAGGGGTGGGGGGGGGGGGGAGGCGTGGTGGTTGTCCGTCAGTTATTGTTGGCGGTCTGCTTTGTTAAGTAGGTAGATGCGGCTAGTGTCTGTTTTTGGTAACGGGTTATATTTACGATGCGTTTGACCTGTCACGGTGGATCATGGTGGCATGTCGCTTGTCAGTGGTCTTTGTCGGGGATCTGCCTTCAATTTCGCATCTGCCGTGGTGTTCTCATCAGCTGCAAAGCAGTGCGGTCTTGTTATCACACGGGATTATTTCATGCTCACCCTGGATAGAGGGCTCTCCTGCCTGTGGCTTTAAGAGTAAGCGCTCACTCGTGGTATGTGTTTATGTTTGATGTCGGTCACTACAGTCACCATGCGGAGGCGTGACATGTGATGACGTTTGTGAGCCGTTGAATGATCGTCCTTTTTGGGCCCGGACGATTGGCTTCAGTCTGGTTTTATTCGTCGAAGGCTGCATGCATTTAGTTTTTTTGGGCCCCTCACTATTGTGTTGAGTAGTTGTTTTGTAATGTTTTACCGTGGTGTTGTTTGGAAGCATGTTTTGTGTTTTCCTGTGCTTTCTTGGATCAGTGGTCTCATTTTATCCATTTGTTTGTCATTGCCATGTCTGATCCCTTTCTTATTCTTTCATTTCTCCTGCAGCAGGTTTGATCATAGTGGATCTGTATATTCATTTATGTCTAGATTTGTCTACTTATCAATATTTGTATCTAGCTTATATGTGTATATATATATATATATATATATATATATATATATATATATATATATATATATAATATATGCATATAAAATGTGTGCGTCTGCGTATGAGTGCGCGTGCGTGTGTGCGTGCATATGTATAACAATGTTGGTTGTTTTTCGAAGCGTGGTGCTGCCGTTGGCGGCAGCGGGGCGGCGTTTCCGCCGCGTAGCCGGCACTTTTCCCCTGTGCCGGCCGGAGCCGCGCCTCCTGCCACCTGGCACTGATTTAGTGTCACGCGGGACTGCCCCAGGCGTCTTCCCCGAGCCCGACAAGGATGCCGTCATCCAGATCGCCAACATGGTCATCAACCAGGGTGAGCGCGACCCCTTCATCCGCAACATCTTCACACTCAAGTCGTGCGCGCCCGTCGTCGGGTCCGACGTGCGGAGCTACGAAGAGGAGGCCAAACTGCTTAAGGTCAGCACGCTGGAGGAGACGGGCCGCCCGGGGCTTGTGGCCGCGGAGGTCAGTGTCCTCAGCACGAGCTGCCGGGGTAAGTGGCCTTAAGTAGGCGTTCAATGATGAAATTCAACTGAGCGATTGGCCCAGAGCCGCTGGTGAGAGCTGTCCTGGACGTATGTTACACGCCTTGATAGCTCTTCAGCAGCGTCGTGGCTTTCACGTGGTGGGTGCTTTTCACTGTCTGACTCCAGTCAACACTGGATTCCGTTGCACTGATTTAGACGTGTGTGTATAAAAGAAAACTGGTAATGAAGTTGTCGTCCATCGTGAGCGGTTATAGTATACTTGCTGAAAAATTGAAATATGGCGTATCGAATTCCATACGCTTTGTTTAGTTACATGGTTTTGAGGTGTTATTTCTCGGTCATGTTTTTAAAGGCGGAAAGAGTTGAAAGCTGCTTATGCCCTTATGTACGACCATGGAAGCTGTAATGTTTTATTTTGAAATATTGCAGGCCTAAATAAGACATGCTTGAACGGCCACTTCAGCCCGCTAGGTAGCCCGCCGCCTTGTTGTGTTGTAAAGTAAGTCACGGCCGGTAACGCTGCGGTCATCTGACCGCTTGCAGGACTGGGCGGACTTCATACGACAGGTGGATCCCGACATCATCACTGGCCTACAACATCAACAACTTCGACTTGCCCTACCTCATCAACAGGGCCAAGGCCAAGAACGGCGCCACCTTCCCCTTCTTGGGAAGGATACGTACAAACTGTGGGTTACATGCTGTTTCGCTGCGTTTCCCGGTTCGCTTCGCTAAGGAGTGCATGTTGTGTTTCACTCGTTGTTCCGCTGCTTCTTCGACTATGCTGGGAAGTCGGGGAGGTCAACCTCGTAGTATGTTGCGACACAACTGATGAGGTTCCAGACTGGGGATGACCACTGGTGTTATGGTGTCTGGTTCTTGGTGGGTGGCCAGTCACACCAATCGTCACTGTGCGCTGGCAGAACGGTCGTGAAGGAAGAACAATGCTGCAGAGCAAGCAGATGGGCCGCCGAGAGAACAAGACCATCAACACCGAGGGCCGCACTCGTTTGACTGATCATGGTAGGCAGCTGACGGACCGGGTGAAGTTTGATCTGATCATGGTAGGCAGCGAGACCGGGTGAAGTTTGATCTGATCATGGTAGGCAGCGGGGACCGGTGAATTTGGTCTGATCATGGTAGGCAGGGGGCCGGGTGAAGTTTGATCTGATCATGGTAGGCAGCGGGGACCGGGTGAAGTTTGATCTGATCATGGTAGGCAGCGGGACCGGGTGAAGTTTGATCTGATCATGGTAGGCAGCGGGGACCGGGTGAAGTTTGATCTGATCATGGTAGGCAGCGGGGACCGGGTGAAGTTTGATCTGATCATGGTAGGCAGCGGAGACCGGGTGAAGTTTGATCTGATCATGGTAGGCAGCGGGGACCGGTGAATTTGATCTGATCATGGTAGGCAGCGGGGACCGGGTGAAGTTTGATCTGATCATGGTAGGCAGCGAGGACCGGGTGAAGTTTGATCTGATCATGGTAGGCAGCGAGGACCGGGTGAAGTTTGATCTGATCATGGTAGGCAGCGGGGACCGGGTGAAGTTTGATCTGATCATGGTAGGCAGCGGGGACCGGGCAAGTTTGATCTGCATCATGGTAGGCAGCGGAGACCGGGTGAAGTTTGATTCTGATCATGGTAGGCAGCGGGGACCGGGTGAAGTTTGATCTGATCATGGTAGGCAGCGGGGACCGGGTGTGAAGTTTTGATCTGATCATGGTAGGCAGCGGGGATCCGGTTGAAATTTGATTGATCATGGTAGGCAGCGAGGATCTGGGGAAGTTGATCTTATCATGGTAGGCAGCGGGGACCGGAGTGAAATTTGATCTGATCATGGCAGGTAGCGGGGACCCGTGGAAGTTTTGATCCGATCAAGGTGGGCAGTGGGAATCTTATGAAGTTTGCCTATGATCATCAAATGTTTGTGTCATGAAATCGCTGATTTTAAAATAAGTGCGTAGGGGCGCATTGCGTGATGTCTGGTAATGACTGTTTTAAACGTGTCGTCATGCTGGTCAGCCGGCCGCCACCCTCCAGGAGAATTATCTACGTTTTCTGGTGCAGGACAAGACTGCGTTCACGTGACATTGATATCCATTACAATGTGGCGATCACATTGTACTGGATATCATACGACATCAGCTGGTTAAGTCAAGCCATGCGATCTGTACGTCTCTTTCACGGTCCGGCGCGCCGAGCGGAGGGCGTGTGCCGCTCCGGGGAATACGCGAGGCACCGCCGAACGGCTGGGCTACGGTCTCGCGTCTGTTCAGCTGTGGCGCCGTAGAGAGTTGGGACGTCGATGAGAGCTGCCGCCCGCGCGCGCTGACCGCCAATCGACCGGACCGCCGTCTGCCGCCGTTCCAGTTCCTGCGGCGGGAGTACAAGCTGCGCTCCTACTCGCTGAATGCCGTTTCGTTTCCACTTCCTGCAAGAGCAGAAGGAGGACGTGCACCACAACATGATCAGCGTGCTGCAGGAGGGGGACGCCCAGACCCGGCGCAGGTGGGAGATCCGAGCTGCTGGTGGAGGGGTAGGGGACGCCCAGACTCGGCGCAGGTGCGGACATTCCGGCCACTGGGGATGGAGGGAGGGAGGGGGGGGGGGGGCACCACCCGGCTGCAGGCGGCTGCATTGTCCTGTGAGCAGCTCAAGCTGGTGATCATCATCATCACCATGGCCATGAGGACGACCCTAATGGGAATGGTGATGAGGTGCGCGTTGCCTGCAGGCTGGCAGTTTACTGTCTGAAGGACGCCTTCCTGCCGCTGAAGCTGATCGACAAGCTGATGTGTGTCATCAACTACATGGAGATGGCGCGTGTCACTGGCGTGCCCATGTCCTTCCTGCTCACTCGCGGCCAGCAGATCAAGGTGG